ACTCTCTCTCTCTGGAATAAATAAAATAAAAAAAATAATTTGACAGTAAAGCTGATGAAAACAGAATTGGAAGCACTCGGGATTTAATAAGGCTAGGTTTTAATTTCTTTTTTTTTTTTTTAAAGATTTTATTTATTTATTTGACAGAGATGACAAGTAGGCAGAGAGGCAGGCAGAGAGAGAGGAAGGGAAGCAGGTTCCCTGCTGAGCAGAGAGCCCGATACGGGGCTCGATCCCAGGACCCTGGGATCATGACCTGAGCCGAAAGCAGAGGCTTTAACCCACTGAGCCACCCAGGTGCCCCCTGGGTTTTATTTCTTTCTTTCTTAATGCAGCCTTGGCATTAGTGCAGTATTTGCATATGTTTTATAAGAACTTTTCTGTCTGTTCGTGAGGCATATTATCCTGGTATGGTAAATCTTGGGTTCACCAGGCCTACCTCTCCAGAGGTTAATTAATAGTGGTTCCTTTTCCCTGATGTCTTTCCTTCATTAGTTACCCCCTTAAAAAAAGATAAGTATGCATTTATATTTTAAATTTCTAAAGCTAGAGAATCAGTATAATGTGTATCTTAAGGACAAGGTCATAGAGAGCTAAGCATGATTATAGCCATTTTGAATAATTTTGCCTTGTATTCTTATGTATTTCTACTATATATGACTAGGGAAAGCAGAATCATAGTATGTTACAGATTGAGAACCTGCCATGGATGCTTTGGTGTTAAACAGTTTTTGTAAAATTTTACTTTAGGTGGTATTAAAAATTTTCAGAAGGACATGTGAATTAATTTAGTGCTGATGAGTTTGTGGGTCAGCTCAGCATTGCTGAGCTCCACTACTGTCACCTGTCTATTGGACTACTAGGTTGATGGTGTTTTCATAATGGCAGACTCACAGGATGCAAGTAGAATCACCATTTCAGCCGTTATTATAGTGGTCAAAACAAATCTCATGGTTGAGCCCAATGTCAAGAGTGAGGAAATACATTCTGCCTAAAACAAGATAAACTGCAAAGTCATATGAGGAATGGCATGGATATAGGGAATGGTGAAGAATTAGGGCCAATGATACAATGTTACATATAGAATATTAAAAACATGCATAAGTTGGGGTACCTGGGTGGCTTAGTGGGTTAAAGCCTCTGCCTTCGGCTCGGGTCATGATCCCAGGGTCCTGGGATCAAGCCCTGCGTTGGGCTCTTTGCTCAGCAGGGAGCTTGCTTCCCTTTCTCTCTCTCTGCCTGCCTCTCTGTCTACTTGTGATCTCTGTCTGTCAAATAAATAAAAATAAAATCTTTAAAAAAAAAAGTTGTTTAAAAAACATGACTAAGTAGAGCAAAGGCTTTAAATATAAAGCTCCTAATCAGGGGCGCCTGGGTGGCTCAGTGGGTTGAGCTGCTGCCTTCGGCTCAGGTCATGATCTCAGGGTCCCAGGATCGAGCCCCGCATCGGGCTCTCTGCTCGGCGGGGAGCCTGCTTCCTCCTCTCTTTCTGCCTGCCTCTCTGCCTACTTCTGATCTCTCTCTGTGTCAAATAAATAAATAAAATCTTAAAAAAAAAAAAAAAAAGCTCCTAATCAGCTAAACAGATGTAAGCATGTGGTCAAACTTCTTTCCTATACATATACGTAAAATGAACTGCTACATAACTGTCACCTGTATTCAATAATTGCACCTAGAATTTTTTATATATATCATAAAAGATTTAGACTTTTTTGAGAATTATATACCATTTACAATTAAAAAGATATGAACTAAATTAGTTTTGATATTTTTTAAGCTTTCTGCATGTTTAGTCTGACACTTTTAAGTTAGTTTTTGATCTGAGTTGTCTAAAATCTGTTTTTCCACACATCTATGCCATCAAGAATTTTGATGATTCACCATTTCTTGAGAGTGCTCAGTTACTTCTGGAATTTTTTTCCAGGCCATTGATGACTCATTCTGCAAGTTTTGATGCTTCCTTGATCTTACCAAAAGATGTCAATGGAAGTTTTTTAGGTAGTAACCAGAATTCAGTCCTCCTTCAAGTGGTTTTTAAATGTTAAAGGGGTGCATTTGTCCAGCGATACTACTAGGGTAAGAGGCCACTGTACTCTCCAGGGGTCTTGCTCAGTGTTTATAGAATACATAGAGAAATGACATACTTGGTGAGTTATATAAAGCTTCAGAATGTCTATTCTAGATGAATTTCAGCCAAGCTCAGCTATATATTTTTTTTGCTTAATCCTTGGGGCATCTTTCTGCTTTAAGGGAAGTTTTCTGAGACTCCAGGGAATCTCTTTCTCTTGAGGGATTTTATGTCAAATTGTACATAACTATGGCCATGGCAGTGACAGCTGTGTCACTGAGCTAATAGAAAATTTAAGATATAGTGTGATTTTAGAGATGTCTGGCTTTCAGTTGGCATGTCTGAGATTGATTTATCCATGTTGGGATTTTTCAGCTAAAGAGGACATTACCCTCTGTTGGATCATGGGGGTGTTTAAATAGCAATTTAGGTTCAAGATTAGATCAAGGCTTTATAGGGCTTGGAAGGTATTTTGGACTTAATTGAACTTTTTTCTGAGGGGGAATCATTGTAGGATTTTTAAGCAGGGGGAGGACTTAAAATCAGATTTTTTTTTTTTTTTTTTTTTAACTTTTAAGCACATAGACTTGTTAATGAACTGATCAAAGTCTGGATCATCAATAGTGGAACAAAATGACATTGTGTCCTTGCCATTGTGTTTTATTAGGAAGAGGCATAGTTACATCACCAGTGTAAGATTGTTGCCAAAAGTTTATCTGGAATCTAATAATAAGGCAACAAATAGATCCTGGTTGAGGCATATTCTACAAAAAGCTGATTTGAATATTTAAAAAAATGTCCATGTCCTAAAAGACTGTAAAAAGGTGGATAGATAGTTCTAGATTAAAGGAGACAATGACATGACAGTGTGAGTATAGAGTCTGTGGTTTTTGATAGGGTTGTGGAATTCAAAACAAAACAAAAAAGCCAGGGACACCTGGGTGGCTCAGTTGGTTGAGTGGCAGACTTTGATTTGGGCTCAGGTCATGATCTCAAGGTCCTAGGATCAGGCTCCACCCTCAGTGGATGGGGATATCTGCTTCCGGATTTTCTCTCTCTCCGTGTGCTCCTCCCCACACTTGCTTGTGTGCTCTCGCTCTACAGTCTGCAAAATGAAACAAAACCAAACCATAAAGGACATTAGTGGTGACATTTAAGGAAATTCGTGTGTAGATACCATTAGTGTTAAATTTATTGGGTGTGATTGTGTATTGTAATATAAGGGAATGTCTCTGTTAGTAGGAAGTAAGTACATGCTGCGAAAGTTTTTTGGAAGAGAGGTATCTATAATTTATTTCCTAGTAATTCAGAGGAAGAAGTATATATAGATAGAAATAATGCAAATGTGGCAGAACGTTACTACTGTTGAATTTAGGTGGACGGGGGGGTTATTGTGCCATAGCTTTTTTTAAAGTTTATTTAAATCTAAAATTTTTTTGAGTTTATTTTATTTTATGATTATTATGATTATTATTATTTTTTGTAATCTCTACAGCTAGGGTGGGGCTTGAACTCACAACCCCAAGATCAAGAGTTACATGCTCCTCTGACTGAGCCAGCCAGGCACCCTATACCATATTTTCAACCTTTCTGTAGGTTTCTGTAGGTTTAGAATTTCTCAAAAATAAAAAAAGGAGGGGAGAACACAAGCATATGATAAGGTCAAGAGCTGGAGAGTCTAACTCTTTGACTTAGCCCTTTAACTGAAGGCTCCAACTTCATTCAATGTTGTATGTGAGATGATAGTTTCTTAAGAAAAACCTTCAGTGGAGGGTATTATGCTAAGTGAAATAAGTCAATCAGAGAAAGACAATTATATGATCTCACTGATGCCAGGAATTTGAGAAACAAGATAGAGGGTCATAGGGAAAGGGAGGGAAAAATGAAACAAGATGAAACCAGAGAGGGAGAAAAACCATAAAGAAGACTCTTAATCTCAGGAAGCAAACTGAGGGTTGCTGGAGTGAAAGGGGGTGGGAGGAAATAGGGTGGCTGGGTGATGGACATTGGTGAGGGTATGTGCTGTGGTGAGTGCTGTGAGTTGTGTAAGACTGATGATTTGCAGACCTGTACCCCTGAAGCAAATAATACATTATATGTTAAAAAAAAAAAAAGCCTCCAGTGAAGTTTGTTGACGTTTCTAAAGTACCTAAGGTGTTAGATAATTCTGTGAAGAAAATGTAATTTTTCCTGAGTTATAGGTGTGGTGAGATTAAATAAGTAAATATGCTACTTCCAGTCGCCTTCTGGAAATGAAATGATTATTCTCGGTAGTTGAGTATTTCAGATGACTAAAATGTCTGTGTGTGTGTGGTGGTGGTGGTGGTGGGGTCTTAAAAATCTCTTTTAATCCTAAAACTTATTTTGGCAACTGAAGTTTACTCAAGTGTCTTTTTGAAGAGCAAATACCTGAATAAGTTTAGTACTGATGAAATTCAACTTCCAAAATCATTTATATAGTGTAATACTACTTTTCTCAGACATCAACAGAATATTATTTCATTCATGTAAGCAAACTTTCTAAAGTATTAAAGCTTACTTCTTTTAAGTACCAAAATATTAGAAATTAAGATAACTTTGAAGGTAGTCTTCCAATATAGTGAATATTTACCCACTTTAATTCTATAGTGTTAATTCTTTTGGGGTTTGAAAGGCCTGCATTTACCTTTTGCTTCTGCCATCGTGTCCCTAGGCAAGGGATACAGTGAGTCTCATTTTCTTCATCTGTAAAATAGAAATACATATCATGAATAAGATAATATGTAAAGCACACGAAATACTAGGTGTGAAGTAAATGTTCCTTTTTGTTTTATTTTAAAAATCTTATTATAAAATAAAATATGGATACAGAAAAGTACACACAACAAATGTATAGTTGAGTGAATTATGAGTCATGTGTGCTTTTTATCCAAAATATTGTAAGGTTTGTTTTCTTTAAAGCCCAGTAATTTGTTAAGGATATATGTTGGTACAGGGAAGATTAGCATGGTCCCTGTGCAAGGATGACCCTCAAATTTGTGAAGCAGTCCATATTTTTCCATTTGCAGCTATGTGGATGACGCTAGAGAGTATTATGCTAAGCAAAATAAGAGAAGACAAATACATACATATGATTTCACTCTTACGTGGAATTTAAGAAACAAAACAAATGAGCGAAAGGGGAAAAAAGAAAGGCAAACCAAGAAACAGACTCTTAGACTTTTGAGATTGGTGATTCTGGGTTCATAGTCTAATTTTGATTCATAATCTTTTATGCCTCGTATAATTTTCGTAATATCTTTTAGTTCATTTAGAAATTATACTTTCCAGTTTTGATCTGTTGTTTCCCTTTTTGGCTTGCTCTTGTAGAGATGTTTTTATTCCTTATTCTCTCTTTTTTTATTTTGAGTAACTTTGAATGGGATTTGACTTCTAAAAATTTTTTTCTCTTGTATGTGAATATAATTTTCCTGAGTTTTTAGAAGCAATTTCAATTCAGATAACTTTTATGGCTTTATAGAGCCCCCCTCCTCCGTTAAAGTTACGGCAGCTTGTTTTCTGAGGATTCCTTGCTCTGATTCTTCCCCCTATTTTAATTAATTAATTAAAAAAAGATTTTATTTATTTATTTGATAGAGAACTAGCCAGGGAGAGCGGGAACACAAACAGGGCGAGTAGGAGAGGGAGAAGCAGGCCTCTCATTGATCAGGGAGCCCCATGCTGGGCTCAATCCCAGGACCCTGGGATCATGACCTGAGCTGAAGGCAGATCCTTAGTGACTGAGCACCCAAGCGCCCCTCATCCAGCTATTTTAGTTTGACCCTTCTATTTCCTTCTTCCTTGCCCTTGTCCTGCTTAATTTTGATTCTGCTCCTAGCAGTTGGTCCTCATTTGTGAGCCTTGTTCTAGAAGGGAACCTGGTCCATTAGTTGAGTAGGTTCATGGGGATTAAACTCCTTCCATCCCTTTAAACCTTACCTTGGGTCTCCTGCTACCCATTGTACTATTCGGTATGCACACCTTCTCCCAGTGCAACTGCTATAGTCGAATGGGCCCCTGTGCTTTCTTTTCTTTTTTAAAAATAAAGATTTATTTATTTATTTATTTGAGAGAGTGTGCATGTGTAGGGGGAGGGGCAGAGTGAGAAAATCTTTGAGCAGACTCCCCACTTGAGTCTGTATCCCAAATTGGGACTTAATCTTAGGGCCCTGAGATCATGACCTGAGCTGAAAACAAAAGTCAAGCACTTAACTGACTGAGCCACCTGCCGCCCTGACCCCTGTGCTTTCTACTGAGTACCTGTTTGACTATCTTGGAATTCTTTTCTCAGAGTTATTCAGTGAAACTGGGTTGTTTTCCACCCAAATGCTGTTACACTGCAGTTTGTGATAATGGTAATTTATTCCAACCAGATTGATTTGGGGAGATAAATTGTCATTTAGTTTTTGGTTTTGCTGTCTAGTTGTTCAGTGATACATGGAAATTCAGGAATATCCCAAAATGATTCCATCTTAGGATAATCTATCAGATTCTTTTGCCTTATTTGTTAAATTAGGGTACTGATGTGGTTTGTTTTCTTAATATTGTTTATTAATGTCTTAAAAGTTACGTTTATGAACATCTTTTACTTTTTAAAAAAATTTAAAAAAATATTTACGATTTTATTTATTTATTTGACAGAGAGACCGCGGGAGAGGGAACACAAGCAGGGCGAGTGGGAGAGGGAGAAGCAAGCTCTTGGCTGAGCAGAGAGACAGATGCAAGGCTCATCTCAGGACCCTGGGCAGACACCTAGCGACTGAGCCACCCAGGCACCCCCATTATTTACTTTATTATGATGACTTGAGTCAGTTGAGAGGGGTGTGAACCTTTTAGGCTTTTGTGTTTCTTTTTCTTTTAAGGATTTTATTTTTAGGTAACCTCTACAACCTAAGACCAAGAGTTGTGTACCCTACAGATTGAGCCAGCCAGGTATCCCTGTGTTTACTTTTTAATTGTATACATAGATAATAGATTTTTCTGTTGTGTAGTATTGAATTTTGTTTATCTCTACTATTGAAGTGACTAACAGTTTCTTTTCTCATTAGGGTCCTTTTTCTAATCTGTTAAGGTTTGGAAGTCTATCAAACTTTATAACTCTGAAGTAGGAGTAAATGGAGCCTAGGTTTTGAGGGAAAGGAACTTTTGCTTACGTTACGGGTGACCTTTTTGCTTTTTCCCCCTGAGTCATTGAAGTTTCTGCCAGTTAAGCAGGTTGATGGCTGAGGTAGAAATAATGTGCCAAGGATTTCCTCAATGACCTCTGATGTCATATGATTGAACATTTTCAAAAACTGGTGAGAAAACAGTATGTTTTTCTTTAAAAATTCAATTAAGTAAAAATAAGTTGATTCAAAGAAATACAGACAACAGTCTTCACTATATAATAGTAGAATGACCATAAAAATGATTGTGCAAGCTGAAACCAGGAGAAGTAATTTCTTTCTTTCTTTTTAGAGAGAGAGAGAGAGAGAGCGCATGTGCATGTGCACACGTGCATTTGCACACATGCAGAAGAGTTGGGGGAGGGGCAGAGGGAGAATCTTCCAGCAGAACCCTTGCTGAGTGTGGAGCCTGATGCAGGCTTGATCTCATGACGGGCGCTGACACTAGGAGTCCGACGTGTAACTGACTGAGCCACCCAGGCACCCTGAAAATCTTAAACAGGCTCCCTGCCCAGCACAGAGCACGTTGCAGGATTCAGTCTCACCACCTTGACATCATGACATCGTGAGGTGAAATTAAGATTTGGATGCATAGAGGCACCTGGGTGACTCAGTCGGTTGAACATCTGCCTTTGGCTCCGATCTGGGATCAAGTTCCACATTGGGCTGCCTGCTCCACGGGGAGCCTGCTTCTCCCTCTCCCTCTGCCTGCTGCTCCCCCTGCTTTTGTGCACTCTCTCTCTCAAATAAATAAAATCTTAAAAAAGTCTCTGATGACTAACTGAGCCACCCGGGTGCTCATCATGCAAAGCAATTTTAATCAGTGGAAAGATTACGATGTTTGGGACCTTTCAAATATTTCATTAAAACATCAAATCTTCCTGTTAATTATACAAGTATAGAGAAATAAAATACTGTAACTGTTTAGTATAAGTTAAAACACAGTGAGAATTGTTATTTTTGTGAAATATGAATCAAGAGTAGTTTGAATCGTGCTTTCCTTTGCATCTTTTCTATGCCTTGTTGGCTTTTGACTTTTTATTCTTTACGATTGAAATGTCATGAAATATGTCCAAGAAGTTTTTTTTTTTTTTTTTTTTTAAGATTTTATTTATTTACTTTTGATAGAGAGAGAGCACAAGTGGGGTCAGGGGCAGAGGGAGAAGCAGGCTCCCAACTGTGGGAACTGATCCCAGACCCTGAGATTATGACCCGAGTCAAAGGCAGACACTTAACCAACTGAGTCACCCAGGCGCCCTTCCAAGAGTTTCTTTAATGTGAAGGATTTTCCTGGAGTTACTTTCTCTGGGACATTGTAATCCTTTTCATCACAGTTGCTTTGCCCATTGATAATTGGTAAATTAACGAAGTTCCTCTGGCTGCACATTTAGAGGCACTCAAACCACAGCAGTGTCAGCACTGCCATGGCCAGCAATTTCTTCTGTAACTGCATTCACAGTGGATTCATATTTCACTTCCAGTGTAAAAGTTTTCATTTCTTTGCTGTACTTTCATTTTTGTTGGTCTACCCCCACTTTGGATTATCCGTAGGTGTAAAATGTCATGTGGATTTATCACTGGGCAACAAGTACGTAATACAGCTGTTCTCTGGCTATTTATTTTCTAGTATCCAATTGCATTAAACTCTAAAAGAAAGGACACATTGATCATTGACCATCATATTTGTTATTTATGTGATGATTTTTGGATTGAAGAGCTGATAGCGAAATTTGTACTTAGTGTAATTACAGCTAATATATGGTAACTGAAATTTGAGCCTTGTTGCAGACTGATGTTAGTTAACTAACCTTGATATAAACTGTGATAACTGAAATTTATTCATGTCAGAATCATGCAAAGTGAGAACTCTGCCTACAATGTAAAAAAAACAAACAGGTTGTACTGATTTGGCAAAAACTTTGACAGTAATAAAGGAACTGAAATCTGAGAAATTTACATACTAACAAAGTAGTCCTTCAAAAACACTCTTCAAAAATTTTTAAGTAATCTCTATAGCCAACATGGGGCTCAAACTACAACTATGAGATCAAGAGTCATGTGCTTCATCGATCAAGCCAACCAGGCTCCCCAAAACCTTCCTTTCTTTTTTTGCTCTGCTCCCCACTTCTCCTCCTGCCTTCTTTTCCTCCACTAGACATGGAGCTCCCTGTAGGACTTGAACTCCCTATCCTGATATCAAGACCTGAGCTGAGATTAAGAGTTGGACACTTAACTGACTGAGCCATCCAGGCACCCCAACACTTTCTATTCTTTATAAAAAAAAAATAGATTAAGATTAAGGAATTTTAGATAAATTCTTTAAAGAGTAGTATGTGCGTTTGTGTGTAGACTAAGGACAAAGGTTTGAAAGGAAAAAGATTTAGCATTTCTTGTACTCTAATATATTTAATGGACTTCTTTCTGTGATCTGATTTTTCTACACTGTTCAGTATTCATATGGTTGTGATCAGAGTAGTTCTTTCTGGCCTGTGGTTCGGATCTTCTCACAAATCGTCCTCTATAAGATAGCTGTGATTGTTGCTTTTTTCATTACTGTAGCAGAAATGTTAGTGATGTTGTGAGGTCTGCATTTATTTTTTCTTATAAATAGAAAAGGAAGAGGCATGGATACAGATACATAATTTCAGATTTCAGATTTCATAATATATAATTTCAGATTTCCGATACGTAAGTATCTGAAAGACAGGTTTACTCTTTTTTATGTGCAAATTTTACAGCTGGAGGGGGGATCCCCAAAAATGTTTATTGTAAACATTTAAAACATACTGAAGAGTATGAGAAGGAAAAATTGTAGGTTGACCTGTAACTCATTGCTTAGACACAACTGCTGTTA